AGGGCGAACGCAAGATAAGCTTTCTCTGTGCTAATCGCACTTGAAGGTGTTTTTTGTGTCATCGTGAGAATCCGAAATATGTAATTTCCTTCGGGATTATCATAATTTATTTCGCAAAAATCCATATTATTCGATCTATCTAACTTTGTAACGAGAAAAATCTAGATCATACATCATTCTCGTGAAAATTATCGCGTATTTCATGCGAAGGAAATATATCCCGATAATATCGTCTCAAAGTTTTACTAGAAAAAGCTATATTAAAGCTACGCTTTTCCCTATGATCATTAAATCAACGTTCTGAGTGACTGTAATGTTTCATCAACTCTGATTAGATCGTCTGAGTGTGCGTCAAAGAGCCGTACCTAGTTTTGACAAACTGCCACACGCGAGTGCTTTTCGTCCGAAAAGTAATTCAACCATGGTGCCTAATTTCGCAGTTAAATGAAATTTCGCCCGAGTGCTTTGTCCGTGGAGCTTGTAGCGAGATGAAGTACAGCGATCCATACTGGCGAATGAGGAAGATTGTTAATACTGATTTCAATGTTTAGCATATACTTTAGCAAAACGAGAACATCGTACGTTGTTGGTCATATGCTGGTAATTGCTAAAAGCATTAATTTCATTGGTCCAGAATAATTTCATCGTAAAATCTATGTTGAACCGAACGACAGAGAGCAGAGATTGAATTACTTAATATGTAAGTACTTACCGAAGTTTCTTCGTCGATCGGCAAATCCATTTGACGTCATATTTAAGTCAGATAATTAAACATAGTTCGCACACGTACACATATTAAGTTGTTAAATTACCACGCAAATTTATTACAAATACAAAAATATTATAAATTTACTTTTTTGTTACATTAAGCATTAGTTTGATCAATAAAATAAATGTTAAATAAATTTAAGTAAATTTCGTATATTTTAGTCGGAATATATCTCTCTGTGTGAGTTATTGATTTGTATCAATAATTACATTCTAACAAAATGTGAAATCTCTTGTAAAGTATAAGTTTTATTTTTTAGTTTTCGTGAATTTAAACTTTCACAATATTTTCAGTAAATATATTTTTGCATTAATACGAAAAGAAAAACATGTTTTGTATACAGTTATTTTAGTGCAATGTTGATGTATTTGACTATATGTATATTTATAAATACGATAGACTTTTCTGCACATAATAATCGAACTGAAATTTAAAATAAATACGTAAGATGACGAGATCACTAATTGTTCTCGTCTAATCATTTTGCGTATTTATATTGATTTCATTTCAGCTTTGGTTTGTGCTTCAGTTTTCGCCCGGATTAGGCATCTAACTTTGAAACAAACATTTGCTTATCATTATCCGCGATGAGTTTCTCAAAATAATCAGAACAACCATTCAGAGACTTTCGAAATGCCGCCGAAAGCTATTGTGTGAAACGCACAGAATTCGATGTCGAGTAAACGGGGCTGAGAGTTATCTCCCGCTTTAGATATTAATTGGGGCGGTACAATTTCAATAGCCCTCTTCATATCTCGATTGATGTATTATAGTCTGTTCGTTCATATGGATACTTATGACAATGCGCGATGTACATGATTATTTCTAACAATGCCAACTGACACACATATGCAGCTATTGACTACCAGTATCAGTTACGCGTATAGAATATTTCGATGTACTCTTGTCGGTTTATGATCGATAATTGACCCATTGTTTTAACCAAGAACTAACTGACGGAATTAGCGCACTATTTGTACGAAAATCTATGCTAGAATCATGCATGTCCTGCTGATGACACCGCTCATTCTGTATTAACTCATCGAATCGTAACAGAAAATCGCAATCGGTTCATAATAGAAAAGTGTAATAATTTCTAAATCGATTAATTAATTAACAATATAATTTCGATCTTTGCATTTTCGTGTTGTTACTTTTTTTCCTTTGCTGGATTCTATATAAAATTGATAGAATTTAGTGACAAATAGTTATACCTATCAATTCATTTATTGACTAGTATTGTATTTATCGATTTATTGATACTCGATTTAAAGTCTGTTAAATACGTCATTATTATTATTGTTGCTGAAATTTATGTTTATTGTTTAAAAAAAAATGTATACATTCGGGAATAAAATAAAAAAAGAACACATTATATTTAGCGCTCGTGAAGTGAAATGTATGATCGCATGTCATATTACAAAGTCTATCGACTTTCCGATTGGATGCATACCTCGTTGATGGAACTACTATACTAATGCATTGCTACCAGTAGCATCGCGATATGACGCATGCTGGAACTGTCATTAAATTTGTTAATTCACATATAATGAACTACACCGTATATAATATCCGACGAGCGTTAATAATTACATTTGCGATGAAAATTATTGCCTGTCAACGGAAAGTTTCCTCCTAGCTTCGCTTTATATGAAGATAATAATTATGGAAATAATTATGCAGAACTGAACTTTACATATCAATTACACATCGAATATATATGAATACACATACTGCATTTTATATTTATAAAAATATTGAGAAGTAAAATCTTTAAAGATACTTACGCTTTTACTGAGCTTGATCTTCCGGCACACATTATAGAAGTTATAGAAGTTATGTGAGTTATTTTCTCCATATGACCTGCATTTTAATTATTATTTTAATAATTATATATGATAATTAATACAATTATAATTAGAAAAATATAACTAAAAATATAATTTTATATAATATTACATTATTTTATAATGTAATATTATATTATTATTTTATATAATATTACATTACAAAATAATGTAATATTATATCAAATAATATTATATATATATATATATATATATATATATATATAAATATGTATATGTTAAATAAAAATAATATAAATAATATTAAATAAAATTATAATTAATCGATCTTATTGTTAGAAAAAGAGATAAATAAATTTTTATAGTTTCGAAACTACATAATAGATTTTCAATCTTATACAAGATATCAATCTTATACAAATTGTATTCAAATGTAAAATTTTTTATTGAACATAATTGTAGTCTTATTCTTCATTTATAAATATAATATTACTAAAATATTAAATTATAAACGACGCCACATAATATGTACTTTGAATTTTGTAAACGCAAACGTATAATACAAATTCTTTGGAGTTAAAAAGCAGAAGGATGTGGCACGAGTTACGGTCGCGGCAAGTGAAATTTAACGAACAGGATGACCGGCTTATGTTACAAAGCAGCGAAAAGAAAGGCGTGAAAGAATTTTCGCGCCATAAAAGGAGGTAATTAGCGTCTGTTGAGTCAAGTATTAATTAAAATTGCTCCTTTAAAACGTGATGTCAGTGGTAATGCAAGAGCAAAGAAAATAGTTAACGAGTAGCTGCGGTAACATTAAGAAAAAATCTATAATTACCAAGCGATCCGATGTATGAATTCACTTAATCATGTATTTATATAATGTATTTATACACTGAGAAAAAAATCTGATTGCATTGATTAGAAATCTGGTAGATTCAACCAGTATGTCTGTTGGAAAATGGATGAATCTCTTTAGGATTTCTTTAGGAATTACCAGATGAGTATCATTAATTTCTTCCTGTTAAATTTACCAAATTTTTTTGATAATAATACTAAATTTACAAAAATATCGCATCATTATGTCCATGTTTAGTAATAACAAAAAGTTTTATTTTATAGATTCAACTAGAAAATACTAACCAAATCTTTATAGTAAAATCTATTAAACATTCTAGTTATAAAAAATCGAGTCTTATAATCGAGTCGTGATAATTTCTGTTTGATTTAACAAAATGCCTTCTATCAGATATGCCTTATTGGTATAATCAAACGATTTTTCTCAGTATATAATACTAATATGTATAGGTTTTGCATTCATTTTTTTATTCTTCACTTTAGAATCAATTGTTCTCATTCTTTTATTAAATGCGTGCAAATAAAAATTTTCGACACTGTATTTTCGCTATTAAATCGGCAAAAATATGCAGGTTTGTGAAAAAGATTTCGATCGAGAAAGACGTCAAGTAACACTTAATCTACTCTTTTCTAATTTTTTCTCCTTATCGATTTAGGCGCGTACATTTATCGGCATCTATAAAAAAACATATACACATTGTACATGAGATCTTCGAAATACAATGAATTTCGGCGTTATTATAAGTTAGATTAAAGACCGCCACCGAAGTATTCTTATAATTACATTTCTAACTCACTATGTACAGCAACTATAGAACCGTTACGTATATACGTCGGTGACAATTGCTAAACGCGAATTATTCGCTATTGGACCAATGCACTCTGATTACATGGTCCCATTGACAGAAGAAAAATCTCACCTTGAACGCTAATAGCGACAAAGATCGGGGATATCGAAGCCATTTCAGCTTTCTCACTGAAAGGAGCAAGAATACTTCCGGTACAATAATATTGCCAAGCTCACGCGAAGACGCAATGCAGTCCCCTTTACGACCGGAAAGCGAAATAGTCTCGAGATCATCTCGGCGTGTCAAGTTCGAATCTTCAGAAGCTAATGCACTTTTGAACTATACGTTTTTACCGGTAACCGTAAGGAGGACAAAATCCGTCTCGAAGTCTAGACTATTATAAGTTCGGCAAATAAACCTTCCTTCTTCCTATAGGTAAGTTGCACCGCCGCAAAGCCCGGAAAAGCCCGTTATATTTACGTACCTGCACGGAAATCCTGCATCCCCTTCCGCATCAATCCTTACTTCCGAAGTTGAATGAGTTTTATCGGTTCATGTATATATACAAGGCGCAAACGCAGCATCTATTCGTCACATAATGCGATATACATGCGTTCTCTCTCTTATTAATTATATTCCGAAGTTTGTTTTTTCTGAAGTGATACAGTTTAATATAATACAATTTTTATGTTGTAACATTTAGAATCATAAAATATTATATTTGTTAAAATCTTGATATAATATTTGAAGAACTTTCAAAATGCAACCAAGCTAGAGAGATCTCATTAAATAAAATTGACAAATAAAAGCAACAGTTTAATCGAGTTCTCTCAGTAAATATTTCTGATATCCGCGCATATCCACATAAATGATGATATATATCATCTTTTAATATTGTTTGTCTTCGTTAAAGCAACTCATGCGTTTTCATTACTGTTACATTTTTATCGTACCTTATATATTTCAAATTTTAGAACATCATAACGTAGTATAGTGACTTTTTTTAGATGTATATGTATTTATAAATTAATAAAATTCTACTTGCATAAAAGCCTCCAACTCGTCTCATGCGCGACAATCAATAATCCGATAACAAGATTACGTCCGGATATATACCCTAGTCGCAGCAGGAGACAGTCGCAACGAGTGGAGCGAACGTTCAGTCTACCGAATGCATTCAATAATTGAATAACTGCAATAACGGAAACGCGGTATTCGTGTTCAAGGCTGTTAAGTGGGAATGGTAGACGCGATGATAAATTTTATTATAAATGAAATATCCCCGACATATTGCGTTCGGTGTAGCGCGTGTGTTTCTTCCATTTGATACATTAATAAATTCATCGCGTATTATCACGCAATTTTGCGTGAGATTGCGTTCGTCTAAATATCCGAATCGTTTTCTGAATTTTTTGTCGAAGTTCATAGAATTCGCACAAAGAGCGTTTTCTTTATATTTGCTTAATATTGGAAAATGTCACCTTAAAGTCGGATTTACTTGGTATTAGTGCAATCTTCTCATTGCTGTTCCTTTCTTCCCAAGTATCATTTCAGGAATGTGTTTATTGGATCGTTTTTATAATAGGTCAAGCGTTATATTAGTATGGCTAGTCTCCGTCTTTGCGAAAATGTTCTTTCTTCGCAGATTTTTATTTTGAAAAGTGGAGAAAGATTCTAAAGACGATAGAAACGGACTTGCGACTTATCACCGAAGTAGAAAAAGACTTCGTGCTTGTTTTCTTAGCGAGGCAAGATTTTAAAATTGTTCTTTTTTGCAAAATGATTATAGCCTTAAAAATACCGCGATAGTTCCAATTTCAGCAAACCGACTAATCGTGTTAATAAGTGTTGTAGAATAACTTTTCTCTGTTGATTACGAGATAAAAAAATTACTGAATAAATGATTACAAAATTTCGTTGGATAATTCAATCTCTTTGTTAATCGAAAATATTATTTTTTAATTTGTATCTTAATCTTCTATATATTAAGCTAAATTTTCGTCCTCGTTTTTCAAAAAATATAATTATATCGTCTTATACATGATCATATAGAACGAAATATATACTCAGCGATTGTAATCGCATCAATCTATCATTTATTGATATATTTATTCTAATATTATCGTTTCAGTTCGTGTCTTTCAGACGACGACATGACAATTGAATTTCTCGTAACGTGGATGCGTCTTATTGTTAGTCAGCCTGACGCTCTAATGATGTAATGGGGGAGACGTCGCGACGCGAACCATGGGTGAGATTCACGTTACTTTCGCAAGGCGAATGTGTCGAATGCGCGTCGCAGCGAGCTGAATTCCCAGAGACAAAACCGCGAAACAGAACCGCCCGCTAGTTTCGTAGGAGTTAGACGACCGCGCTTAAGTTCGCGCACATTCAACCCGGAGTGCATAGCGTCGGCTAGAATATCATCCAAAGAAGTAGGACGACCGGAAACAACGTCGCGGCCATTCTGTCGCCGCTGCCATGATGCATCGCCGCTGGTTGTTCTTCTGAAACAAACGCCATGCTATAACGCCGTTTCGCTCAAGAGGTTCTTAGCAGGTGGTATTTAAAGTGACGTTTCTCTTCGCAGGGTTGAGAGCGAGGCTCTCGCTTTGGACAAAGTTATCGTCGTTCTATTCGACTGATCACAAGCTAAGTATTTTTAAGACACCTATCTTGCACTATTGCTTGTACCTCGAAAGAAGAATGACTTGTTACGCATCTAGCTTAGAAACTATTCCAAAGTCATTTGATAGTGTTTTTTTTAGTATCTATTAATATTATCCGTCAAGCCTGATAATCTCAAGAAAAATGATTTTTAAAGCATGATATATATATGCTTTCTGCAGAATTATAAATATCAATTTCATTATAAATTTTATTTTACGTTATTTAAAAACTTTTTTATATAAATTGTCTTTTGCAATGAGAAGATAAAAGTCATCACAATTTATTGCTAAACTTTCAAACGTGTTTACTTGCGACATGTTAGTTTGCTTCGGTTTGTAGTTTGCTTCAGTTAAAGAATAATGTCTTACTCGAGAAAGAGTTTAAAAGAATTTGGAGAGGTTTGCACGTAACCCCCGTTGTAAACGAAATTGACATTTTACCATTGACTATGTGGACTCGTACGCTGTTAGAATGAGTGTTATTAGGCGAGCACGTGTAAAGGCCGGAGTCTCTCTCGATCGCCTTCTGAATGAGTAAACGACTCGAAGTCACGGTCCCCTTTTCCGTTACCAGACTGATGCCACCCCTCGGTGAGTCGAAGTTAATCGCCTGCGAAAGAACGAGTATAAAAAGCACATCGAGTTACTTGCCTCTGTCGTGACCAGCTGATGCGGATAAGACCACTCTGTGGGAAAAACTGAAGAAGGAACGTGTTAGCTGCAATGACAGAAATTCCCTTTTCAAAGACTTTTTTGAATATAAGAATATACCTATTTTATGATCCTTCTAGTTTAATAGAAAATATAGTAGTTGTATCTCTCTCGTATAATTATAATTATAAAAATATCATCAAGAACATTTAAGATACTAACTTTTACACAATGTGCATGTTTAATTGTATTGTGTCCAAATTAAAATTTGGATATTTACAATAATTCTGCAAGCAAGAGAGAAGATCTCACGCATATACATTAATGATATTGTAAAAATTTCTAGAATTTAGTAAGAAGATTAAGAATTCTTTTTGGAAATTATAAATTGTTGCTATTTTCTACATCCATGAAATATAAACAAAATGTATTAAGAGATGGACATGGAATTTTATCTCTATGTTTAGTTTTACAACAGGAAACATTTTGTAAAATAAAAAAGTTACATAAACTTTAGAAAAATTTGTTATTAAATTAATTATGTTTAATTAAAGGTTGCGTATATGCAATATATATATATATATATATATATATATATATATATATATAAATTTAAGATACACATACACACATTAATGAAAAGATATTGACGATGATTTTAAGTTAATTGTAATTACAAAATATCTTTAAATAAATATTACGTATCTAGAAGATCAAAATTGAAATAAACATATAGATTAAAGTTATAAGAACTTGAATAAAAGGCATTAGTGTAAATAAATGAAAAATATCAATTAATGCTAAAATGATATTACGATTTTTATTTCTTTTTCTCTACATAATTCGACATCTATCATTTAAGACGAGTGCCGTGAATAATATAAGTACGAATAATTAGTCGACGCAGAAGTTAATTACTTTCTTGTGAAAAAAGACAGAGACAAGAGTTGTCTCATCTGTTCTTGACGTGACTAGATGGAATTCAAGGCACTTTACGGAAAGAAGTAAAAGTGGAGTGACTGTCTTTCTTAAGTAGCAGAACGCATTTCGAGACAAGTTTTCCGAATATACAACTTAAAGTGATATCCCGGTTATTCCAGTTATATGTGTGCTCACAGAAATAAATGTGAGGATTTTTAAAGTAAAATATATAAAACTAACGTAACGCGAGGTCTTTGCCTGCTTGTAGTTGAAGCGATTTAAAATATACACGTCTCAAGGAACTTTTGTGTTGCTCTTAAACAAATGATTTATCTCGTGGCATTGAAAGAGAAATCCTATTATTCAGATAATTGTATATTGCTGCAAATAGTTGCTTCACTCCACGAATAAAACGAATATTGTGGCGAACAAACAAATCCTTTAATTGTGATTCTATTGCTCGAACAGAAATACATCACCTTGTCGAAATACGGGAAAAAGCATGCCGTTGTCGTCGTCTTCCATAAATATCGTACAGTCGAAGAAACTAAAGCGTGCTACCACCTATAATCGATATACGCGTCAGGTCAACGGAAATACAGACTTTTTTTAACGATTGCGAGAAACATGAAAAATGTTTCTGTTTGTGTTGACGTTTGCGGTTTACAACTAACATTGAATGAAATTCTGATGTATTTCAGTTGAAACGTTTCTCATGACGTGAGTTTCAGACTTGATGGCAACATGACAGGTGATTTTCAGCAAGCGACAAGAACTTTACTTGCAGGTTATAGATCAAGATTCGCTTACCTGGTGGTTATGACTCCAAATTATCGTCGACGGAGGTTCGGGCGCGTATCTCACGTAGCATGTTAAGTTTATCGTACTGTCCTTGTTAATAAACAAATCTGGACCACCGGCTATCTCCGTCACAGGTTCTACAATGAAGCGTAGGGTAGTATGTACAATATTTTTAATTTTTCCTAGGAATTTTCTTATTTTTAAAATGTTCTTAAATATATATATATACATATTATTTTACTTATGTTCCAAACATTCATTGTGATTTTATTGCAAACAGGAATGTTCATAGTGAAGATTCACTAATATTTCCTTTTGAAATACACTGTAGCAAAAACCAACAGTTGAATATAATTTTTGTTATTGTTGCGAGATTGTTTCCCTTGTCATTCATGTATTCTTCGTTCCGTATTTTTTCGAGCGGTCGTTTAAAAAAGAGCAAAAAGTTGTCGAAATAAAATGCAATAACCATGTAAAAGAGCGGTCGGCATTATTGCATTATTTCCCGGAAAACAGGTTCCTCCGTAAAAAAAGTACCGATGGAATCAATTCCCGATGACTGGGAGTTTCTATTTGAGAAATTCTCTTTGTATGCGATCGAGAAGAAATCATTGAACCACGAGATATACGGATTCTTTTCAAGTGTCCTATTCTCGAACCGGTTAGAACTACCCGATATATCGATATCCCCACCAGCCTTAACCATATCTCGAGGCGTTAAGAGCCGGTTTAATTTCCGCGAAAGTAATACCGCGAGATACCGCGTGTCTGGAATTTTTGTCCCGTCGTTCTGTAAGAATCAACGAGCGAGAAACGTAGCGCCGATATGTCTCTTCCTTATCCCATCCCTCCCACGACCCGCCATTAAATCTTGTTGCTGGAAATACTACCTCGGCGGAATCTCCGCGTCCGCGGTACACAGGATCGTTACAGTCCGTCGGCCGAGATTCTCCGAGTTTCTCGGATTCCCATTGGTGGATCTCAATTATCTGACAAACCAGCTTCGAGACTTCCTCTGCCGTTTGCTGACCGACTTGCGAGCAGGCGGTTTGTGGCGGCACAGGGAGATCTTCATTTCCTCCCCGGGAATACCAAAACGAACGCGATCGTCTTGGGTAGCTTATTACTGTTTCATAAACGAGTTGCTTTTGTTGCTCGTATTGCCGACATTTATTCTCACGAAGCCCCCGACTATTTAACTTCTTGATGGAGTACAAAACGAATGAATTAAGCGGTTGCGTCGTGAAGAATTTCCAAGTATTTCTCATCGTGTTATTAGCGTGGCGCATTATTCCGTGTAATAACATTTTGCAGCATCATATATCGAAGGATTACCGCGTTAAACGTAATTTGCAAGTTAACGATACAAGCCGTCATTAAATAAAATTGCTTGTACGACACCCATTTCGTAAGTCTTATGCGTTTACCTTGCTAGACTGCTTCCTCCGTTTCCTTGAGTTACTTTTATCGGAAATCTTGATGTTTTTGAAGTTTTAAATCAAGCGATATTGTACATATTTTCCAACATATTTAAGATAAATCCTCTTAAGATGCTGATTTTTTTATTAAATAAGATTGCTCTTTGTACTCTTTGCGAATTCAATTTATCGATTTCAGAGCGTAATTTTCTCTTTGCCTGTACAGGTTTTGGCAGAACATCGTCGCCACTTGACAAACTTGCGGGTCTGAGGGTCGTGGATTCTCCTTGGTTTCGTCATTTGGCAGTCAGAGAGGGAAAGGTATATATATAGCACGAACGTCATTGAGATACGACGTTAACGAGAATACGAGGACTTCATCGTTAGCTGTTAAGAGAGGACGTTTTTGCGACACTAACGTTAACGTTGTTACACTAAAATGAAGATCTCGTTGACGCGCTGCTCGAGTGCAGGACAGTCGCGGTCGTGCATATTTGTCAGTCGACTACTTGCTCTAGTCGGCGAAAGAGCTTTATTTCCTTTCCAGAGATACGTCCCTGGACAATTGGGAGAATGCTTCTTGCAAGCATTAAAGAGAAATGCGACATCGTTCGTTTTACGATCTGCTACAGATATCTCGAAAATTCAACGACTCTTCACAAACGGTAGCACTTGTTAGAGAAAACGATCGGTTACTTTGACAGTTCACATAGTCTAGCTGAATAGAATCACCAGAAATCCGACCGTCGATTCTCATCCTTCGATTATCATCAAGATATTTGTGACAAAAAGAGAAAGACACGTGAATCAGACATCGTTTTCACTAATGTTTTTTTATTTGTTAGTTAAAAACACGTGATCATAGACAATCGAAATATACTAAATGCAGTTGTATTTGCAACTTTGTTTTTTAATAAATTTCTTGTTTTTATAAAATTGAATATTTTCAAAGTTGTATAAAGAATCTTAGAAAATTTATTTAAAACAATCAGTGTAAACTTGATAATAATCACATTATAATTTATTCATTGTATAATAATCACTTTGTATATCACATTTGCAACATAGTTATGAACGACATTTTTTTTATCAGTTTGTTTTCCTCATTTTCCAAAAAAAAATCCAAGCGTACGATCAAGCATCGACGCAAATATATTCAGAGCGTTATGCATAAGATATATATTATATTCAACGTCGAGAACGCTCTTAAGTTTAAGATCGTTCAAGTACTCTTGGCATCCTTTTGCTCTGTTCGCGAATAGCTGCGAGCTATAGCGGCGGAATATTCTGAAATTTCGGAAAAAGCTAAATCAAATTGGCTGGCTCATCTTTAACCAAGCCATCGATCCATCTTTGATCGATCACTGCGTTGCTTCACCTTTGAATGAAAGGTAGAGATAAATCGAGAGTGGACCACGCGTACGCTGACCGCTATTTCGTCCGCAATTGAATTACCACTCTACCGTGTTGGCTGCAAAAAATCTAACAAGCATGGGGGATGGTAAACCCTCTCTGCCTCTGCGAAATACGTTCGGATAAAAGGGCGAGAGTTTCCCCTCCCAAAAGAAAATTGCGGGTCATCCGATACTACTATCGTTCCTGTATCGTTACCAGATGGCTTGTTTCACATCGAATAAAAAAGGAGTCGTTTTGTTTTGTAATTCAGAGATCAATATATGATACAATCTTTTGACGTGATATATGCTTAATATTATTCTATAATTTATTTTTTAATTATTGAAGCATATTATTGTTGCATTGTTTTAAACAAATCATATGCATTACTTCATAAACTATACACTATAATACGCACATTTTAATTATATGTTTAATATTATAATTTCATAATTTATTTTTCAATTATTTAATCATATTATTATCGCATATTGCATTATTTTAAATAAATCACACGTATTATTTCACAGACTATGCAATCCATTACAATTGGTACATTTATTTTCTTTAATAATAATATTTTCAGTATAAAACACAAATAGTCGATAAGTTACATCGATAGCCAGATAACTGTGCATTTCAGGAACGCAGTCGCGGATCATTTTTCGTGTTACCACTCCGATGTCCATACGTTTGTAATGATCAAGGCCATTAATCTGACAGACATACGCAGCTGACGGTATATCGAGGGATAAGTTAGCGGCGGGACAAGTCCGGTACGAGTGTGTGCAGCCACTGAATGTATTACTGCCGGCAGCATGAAGGGAGAGAGGGAAAGAGATTGCAGCAAAGGAAAGGAGAGAGAGATCGAAAGAGGGAGGGAGCAAGAGGGGGGGAGAGAGAGAGATGGGAGGGGGGAGGCAGCAGACAAACAAAGGGAAAGAGAGAGAGAGAGACAAAGAGAGGAAACCGAATAATCGCAGTAACACGAACTACGATCCTATATGTTACACGCCATATTGTCAGGAGCGAGAGTCGCCGTTGGGCCCGCCCGTATCCCTTCGTGTCCGGCATTCCTACGCCGATAATGATCTTTCATTCGCGCCATTGCCGATAGAAATTGATTGCGCTCGAATGCAGCGATCGATGTCGGCCGCGTGGACACTGACCACTGTGTCCGGAATGTCATGTGTCCAGGTATACAGTATATGTATGCACGACACGCGTGCATATCCGACGTCATGTCATACTGATTGCGCATCACTCGCCAGTATGTCACCGACGGAGCGTTGCGTGCGATTGTGCCCGATAGACGCGTCATTTATGGAAGGATAAAACGACGATAAGGGAATATACATCGCGTCCGAATGCGGTGAAGTAAATAATTGTTTGGGAGATTACGCTGCAGTTGTGTAAGTTTTGTTGCATCCTTCTTATACACGTGTAATGTTATCTTTATATCATAATATTATTTAATGTCCCTGCAATCAACATCTTTTTTTACAGACAAATTACTGTTAAGTTTAATAGATAAGATACTATCAAGTTTAGTACATAAGTTATTACTCTATTCCAAACACGTATATTTTATGGATTAACGTTTGATCGACGATGAAATGGCTCAACATTTCCGCCTTAGCCGTTGGATACTAACGCGATCAGAACGCGTTTTCGAAACCATGAACCAGGGTGCTCACTTGCATTACGATACTCCCCGTGGCAAGTGCCACGCTTATAAGGGAACTACCGCTCAACTACCGAACAAGAGCCATTTACACAAAAGGCCATGGTAATGGCGAGATTCTTAACTAGAATAGCTGCTTCAAGTTTTGGCCCCCCGGGAGAAAAGCTGTTCGAGTATCTATACCTTAATAATGCGTTGTTACTGGCACTTACTTAAGCGTACTTGCGATCATTAGGAATTCTAATTACTTTTGTAGCTGCCAATTCGACTCGGGAACGATCGTGTTATCTCGTGGCAAGAATGGAACAATTCTAGTAGATAGTTGAATCCTTGGAAAAAAGCATATCCTTCTTAGAATTTAAAGTCTCCTGTAACTGATATTAATACTAGGAATAACTTTCTTTATTCCATAAAAAGCAGGTTTAGTTTTATATATTCTCAAATTATATATTAATTTTCCATTATAATATTAATATGTCGTTAAGTAAAGACAATGTTCGAATAATGATACACACCCAATGTATCTAATAGATACTCGTACAATTCAATTTTATAGAAAACTTTTTCAGATACATTTTCATCAATCGGACAATCGTGCGGCTTCAAGAATCACATTTATACGATCATGCGGCATTGCATC